AAAGCTAAAGCAGGCAGCTAATAATACCATATCTGAATTGCATAAAATACCGTTGTCACCTACTCGTAGAAAAGCAATGGCGGAGGTCAAGAAGTGGTCTTTTAGAAACAAAATGCATCCGTACAGCCAGAATGTAGCAAAACAGTTGAAGGATGCTAAGACTAATTTTTCACAGATGTGTAGGAAAAAAGAAAAAATGATCAAAGGCTATTTTTTAAAAATCTGAAAAGTTTTAAGCTTGGTGAACGAATTAGCAGAGCTCATCATTACATGAAAAAACATAGAAAAAAACATAATAGGATACGGAAACCAAACATATCTATGCGGAAGTGGAAAATTGGAGAAGACGGTGATTTGTTGTTGCCGGAAAAAATCAATGTGATGGATTCAGATTCCTGTAACGTACCTGATATTGAAGACTTGGATATCATAATTAGGGAAAGCAAAAATGGCAAAGCATCAGGATTGGATAACGTTAACGCAGAGCTGATTAAATATGCAAACTCAAATACAATCACCGAGTTCAAAGAAGTTCTCCAACGGGTATGGGATGAGAATGAGCTGCCAGCTCATTGGAGGCATTCATTATTAGTTCCAATACCAAAATCTGCATATCCTAAGGATGAAAATGACTACCGCAGAATTTGTTTGAGCAGCGCAGGATATAAAATGTATGCTTCCTGGATACTAAAAGAACTAATTCGATGCACAGACCCAATCGGCCATCATCAGGCAGCATTCATACACGGGCGATCAACAATGGATCATCTTTTTGTTGTAAAACGAGTGTTAGAAGAAAAGTGGAATGCGGGAGATGATTTGGTGCTGATGTCTCTCGACATCAGCAAAGCGTTCGACAAAATTTCCTTAAAAGATCTCCCAAGGATCTTGCAACAGAAAGGAGCTCCAAAAGGGTTAATAGCCAGAATTGTTGAATGCGTCCGGGAGGAAACATACCAAACGCTTTGGGATGGACAAAAATCTGCAAAGGAGAATCGTAGAATGGGCATAAAGCAAGGATGTCCATTGTTACCGTATTTGTTTGATCTAATCATGGAAGAGGTCCTCAGAAAGACGGAAGCAGAATTACATGGTTTCTTCGTGTTGGATCAGGTACACAATATTCGATACCCCATCATTTTAGTGTACGCAGACGACATTTTGATTATTGGATGTAGTAAAGAACAGCTGAACATAATCATTCCGGTGCTGAAGAAACATCTTGAGGAGGTAAACCTGTTCTTAAATCCCATAAAAACCAAAATTGTTGTTAGGGCACCTAGAGGAGAAGCACCAACATCGTTAGTTGTTGATGGTTGTACTTACATGGTTGCAAAGGAACTCAGCTACCTAGGAGTGACCATAACTGATAGATTACACCGCCTCAAATCTATTAAAGCACGCTGTAAGAAAGCCATTAAATCCTCTAAGGCTGTTATTGCATTCGCGAAAGAGAACAGGCCAAGTGTGGAGATTGGAAACTTACTGTATGACACCATCATTTCTCCTACAATGACGTTTGGAACCCAAGTTTCAGTCATCACCAAACACACTCGCACGTCCATGCGAAAATACGAGAGACAAATAGTAGCGGAACTGGCGAGCTGTTGTACTATGGACGGAGAAAGCCCAAATGGGAATCATATTCTAAGAGGGAAAACCGTGACCAAAAAAATTCGAGCCCTTCAAATGAGATTTTGGAGCCATATTATCAGAATGGAGGATAATCATCTGCTGAAACTAGCTGCTAAATATAAAAAGCATTATAGAAAGATAGGACGACCATCATTCACTTGGTTTGATATAATTCGACAAAATGTTGAAAGATTTGGGGATCTAAGCGTGGAAGAATGGGAGGATCTGGCCAGAGACAGAGAAAAAGTGACAAACAAAATCGAGGAGATATATGCTATTTGATTCAGATGAGCAGTAAAGTTAGATGATTAAGGCATACAATATAATACTCTATCTCTTTATTGTCTTATTAATAAAGTTTATTTCAATAATGATGGTAATACTTGATAGATTTGCACCATTTTTATTTAAAAGTTACGTTTGCTCTGAACCCATCGATTCAGTCATTTTAAACTCAGTTGAAGAAAAAGAATGCACGGGTGTATGAAAGGAAATGACTTCAATATATTAAAAAGGTAAGCATATAATTGATTGTATTTATATAAATTATTTATCTCATGTTTATACTGCTTTATATTGTCGAATAGAGCATCCTTATATCCCCCTTCCCCTACTAACAAGATTTCCATTCCCTGTAACGTCTATGAAGGTAGTATGGGTTCCCTGCACCTTCTTAAGTAGATGTTGAACTAACATTCCTACCTTTCCCCTGCGATTGTAAGGACGTAGCCAGGTATACAATGCGAGGTTTGTTTTGCAGATTGCATGGTATGGGAAAAGGATATTAATCCCAAGTATCCTTTTTGCGACAACATATTATGTTTTTGCGGAATATATGAGCTGATCATTATATATCCACCTACGATTTGTGCAATCGCATATGCTATGCTATGCTATGCTATGCTATGAGCGGCGCCGGTGGTGTAGTGGTAGGCGTGATGACCTCTCACCCCAGCAGGCCTGGGTTCAATCCCAGTCGGCGCCGCCGGGATGTTCTGAGGCATATCATCTCTGATCACGCCTTCCTTCGGGAAGTAAAGCCGTTGGTCCCGGGTTCATGAGTTGATGGGTCGATAGGTAGGGTCCATGTATATATTTATATTACTATTGAACATGTGAAAAATGTCTATTGTCTCAAAAAAAAAGGCCCTGTGCTAAATTTGGTCTCAATCAGACATGATTTAGGGGTGGCCCAAAATCATCAAAATTTGAGGTTTTTGAAAACCGAAAACGAATGAAATTTCAGCTTTTGAAAAATAAAAAAGTTGATGCCATATGACTCAAAAATGCACGAAACGTCGAATTCTGGTCTTTTTTGTGAGTGGGAAGTGGGATATGTAACATTGATTAATTGGCTCCCAAAGCTGTTCACTACTATATCCAATCTATTTGTATATCATTTTGAACCATCACTAGCATCTAATACTTGATGCTTCACTAGGGTGGTTCATTTTCATATTTAAAACATTAAAATACATGCAAAAATCATAATATTCCACAGAATGCATCTAAATATAGTCCAGAAAATTAAATATTCACTCCCCATAAGAGTAACACTGCTACGAGCCCCGTAACGTGGGTAGATCACCTTCTCGTGGTACGTTACAGGATGTAAGATCTACCACCGATTCCTAGTCCTGACTGCTTCAAACTAGGGGAACAAGATTTTTCCGTATTCAAAGGAACACATCTTAGTCCTTGTTATGTACTTGTTATGCCTTGTTGATAGTGACAACACTCGGCTTTGTCCACCGAGGATGATGTTGAAACAAGGAAAAAATGAGTTAGTTAGTCTTCATCTATGTGATTCCTAATCTTCTATTCGTTGTTCCCTAGTTTGAAGTGGGTAAGACTAGGGTTCTGATGGTCATTATCGGTGTCATTCTTTAATTTTGTTGCGTGGAGGCGAACCAGCCCAAGGCTGAAAGCCTCCTTAATAAAGCTAAATAATAATAATAATAATTTTGTTGCTAAGGAATCCAATTTTGACTAACAAAGGGGTGCGCCTTTGGAGGGTGTTTCAACACTCCGAAGGGTATAAATAGCGGGACCTTTCAATTAGAGTCGGATCCTTGTGATAAATGCAAGAATGACAACTGTAAAAAAAATCGAATACTTCATCATTTCTCAATAGTGATGGAGTAATACGACATGCACTCAACGAAGGAAATGGGATATATTTACTATAATAGATCAAATTACTGGTCGCAGTGGCGTTAGGTTCCGAACTGAGAAAAAAAATACTGATACGATATGTGCATTCTGCACTAGAATACGTTGTGGAAAACTTCCATAGGGTGGTTCATTTGAATTAGATAGCAAAAAATTCGAAAAAAATCTTACAAATACTTAGTTGAAGATGCTTATTTCATAGTTGAAGATGCTTATTTCAAATAACAGACTGTAGTGGTAATTTTTATACGATAGATGGAGTAGATGAAAGTATAGAGTTGATAGTTCCGTTAGAGTACGGCAGTGTGAAAATTGCATATAGTTAGTATTTAGAATAGCGAGCAAGGACAACTTTTAAGGAAGGTACAAATCGGTTTTTTTTCATCTCTCTTTACCAAACTCCCCCTTTGGAGAGGGATGGTGAGGGGTGTGCTTACAAATACTGTTGTTTTATTTATTAAATTCAGGTCTGTGGATTTGAAGTTTCAGTCAATGAGTCAGAGTCGGAATGCTAATGAATTAGCTGAACTGAGGAGTCGGAGTCGGTGCAATTATGGCAACTATCTTCTAGATAAAAAGGATCTCAACTAACATTAAATGCTGAATAAAGGCTTGTTCAGAATTGGGAGGAAATACTAATCTACTATCAACATGAAGCTTTAGTGCGATAATTTATTATCATGGGCATGAGCATGATTAACCACCCATGGTTACTGCGCTGTTAATGCCAGATCAGCTGTAATAACACAAAAAACCAACAGATGCTTTTTGGGACTAACATTCATCCTCAATGTGTAAAAACTGAACGGCTTCAGCTTCCAAGACCCTATTTCAAGCACAAGTTTTTTTTTTAAGTAAATTAATCAGAAATGTATCCAAATGATGCTCTATGATGTAAAGCATCATACTGTAAAAACTAAGCGTTGTAAGTTATTGTTTACTCCATGCTTATAGGGTCTCGGGTCGAAACCGTTCTCCACCCTACTGGGGTGATCTATCAGTTTTCAAAAACTCAAACTGTGACGATTTTGCGCTGTTCAAAAATTAGAAATATAGTTAAAAAGTTGACGTTTGAACAACAATTTTCATTTCATTAATTTTATGGACTTGGTTTTGTTCCCACATAAACTATTACGATCGATTCATTTACATCCCTTAATTTTGATCATTTCATCTTTATTTTCATTTTCTAGAAACCTGAAAACCTTTCCAAGTTCGACGAATGGATCAAAACACAGGTATTTCTATTGTCTAGAGAGAACTCCCTAGACTTCAACATAAAGTTACTGTTTCGACTGGGTATTCGCACTTATTTTTGGATCACTCAACATCTCTAGAATTTCTGAATTTTCGGAACAGCGGAAACATTTGAAACACTATGAGCTACGGGATCACTTGAAATCTTCTTGTTGACGCTCCGTGTAGCCCAAGAATCGAAGAAGAACAACTTTTGGTCATCATATTGAACATTTTGTTAATAATTTTGTTTTTGCATTATTAGGCTGCTCAAATCTTGAATGTGGAAGGGCTTAACTCATGATATTGAGCTCAGTAAGCATAAACGGTCCCTCTAAGGCCACTGAGTCCCTCATATAAGATCAAACTACTTATGATGGACTTGTTGTAGCCTGGCGACGACGAAATGGACGATAATTTTCACAAAACACGATGAGCAAGCAATTTGGCTACGAGATACTCTTTAATATTATGGGGCCTGGCATCGATCCCACGATTTCCTGCTCAGTAAGCGAAAACGGCTCTCTTACGATACCGAGCCCTTCATATCAGAACAACCCAGTTATGATGAAGTTAATGCTATAACCGTTCAAACCCGACGGCGGTGTCCCTTACACAAGAACAAGTCGTCGCCGACGATCTTTCAAACCCGACATGAAGCTACGAAAAAGGACCTTCTCCTTCACTAAGTTATGCATTTATCCGATGTTCATTATTTCGGTTAGGTTTTTACGGAACAGAATCTACAAAGCGTTATATTTTCGTAATTAATTTGAATATTTTCAATTACGTATTATAAGTCTAGTGGTGCGGATTCAAAAACAACTGCGAACAGTTATTTGATCGACTTTGGTATACGCCGTTTAGGGCATGCTATATTACTCCATCACTATTGAGATATGATGAAGTATTCGGTTTTGATACAGTTGTCATTATTGCCTTTATCGCAAGGATTCGACTCTAAATGTAAGGTCCCGCTCGTAACCAATTCAAACTAGAGAGTAGCGTATAAAAGATTAGGGATCATGGAGATGAAAAATAACTACCTACCTCATTTTACCTTGCTTCAAGATCATCCTAGATCGACAAAGAGTCTTATCACTATCAACAAGGCATAAAAAAGTAACAAGTACTAAGATGTGATCCGTTGATAACAAAATAAAATCCTGTTCCCCTTATTTTAAGCAGTTCGGAGTTGGCTTCGGGGGTAGATCTTAAAGCCAGTAACGTGTAACCGTTTAGTTACAATGTCCTAGATTTTAATTTGCGCAAGTTGTTTTAAGGAACTGTAGTGTTTTGTGTCAGTGTTGCGTTAGTAGGATTAGTAGGATTGTTGGTAAAATTGTTGTAATGGGAAAATGTATAAATTTGTGTTAGTAGGATTAGTTTGAAATCGATATTTTTATAACCATAATTGGGCGAGACAGGATCGCAAGCGTGTTGGGATCAAATGTGGAAGGAAAACTGAATAGGAGATGGTATGGATGGGTGATGATAAGCTACAAGGAGGGAAAATGGAGGAAATAATGAACGGAGGGTTTTTGATATCTGGAATAGATCTGGGATGCTGAGAAGTAAACCGGTGTTTGTGCTTACAAGACGTGAGTGGATAGTAAGTCTAAAGTACAAAAGTCAACCGAGCAAAGTGCCTCAAAGTGCAGTGAACGACATTTTTCTATTCTTGGTGTTCGTTCAGGACCTTTTTTTATGTTCCACGTATAGATCTTCACGATCGGCACGTTTCGACCAAGTCAGTCACGACTATCTTGGTCTAAAAGTCAAGAACCTTCCACTATCCGGCTTAATAATCGCCAGACAAGAGAGCATCCTCGGACGCGGTCCTAATTGAAAAGGAGGAAGACCCTTCTCGGCTCGACCAAGGTGGCCGATATTTGCCAACAAAGGGAGACGCCGTTGACCCAGAAGAGGCTACTTTGGTAGCTGCACAGGGATCGCTACATTCCCTGGTTACGAACCGCCATCGCAACGCGCAAACCCAAGCCATTTTTGTGACCACAGCTCCAGTCACCAGGAACCATCTTTCAGACCAGTCGAAGGCACCGATCCACCATTGTCGACGGACTGATCAAGCCACGGACCGCCATCGCGGTCAAACAACACGCACCATAATTCCAGTTAAATAAATTATTATATATTATTTATAAATTTTTCCACCCACACATTAGGTTTTAATTAATTTCACCATCACTATAGAAATCCCACAGTTTCTGCAAACTTTGCTCCTTGTAGCCCCTCCGAATTAGTCAGTCAAAAATCAGAACCTCTGAACACCAGAAGTCCGTTCAAAATTAACGAAGATAATATTTTTTTTATTTCGGGAAAATGGGGTTTAGGTTTGGTGCTCGTAGCTGCTCCAAAGGGAAGAAACTATTATAAATAGGAATGAATCAATATTATCCAGAGCAGAGTTAATGTACACGTGCATCCATCCCGCGTGATAGAGACACGCTTTCTATAAGATCGTAGGTGCCTGGTACATTTCGAGACGTATTATTTCTTTCGTGTCACATGTGCTGTGTCTCATGAGCTAAGCTCGGTGAGCTCCAGGGAGATCGGCAGCGTACCTACGTCCTGCGTGCATGATTGGTTGGTTGGTTAGTGATTGGTGATAAAAAACAGCAGAGAACTGTTGTAGTCCTGTAACATTCTCGTGTTGCTGGTACAACTGATTAATTTCAATCAGTTGGTATTCAGTTTTTGAGGGTTGAGAGATTGTGGTTTTATAGAAGTATTTCAAGCGAAAGATGAGTTAAACGATTACGAACCAATTACCGGCGGGGTTATTTGTTACCGATCCATGCGCATGGAATTTTCATGGTTCAAAATATTGATTTAGCTCCACCAAGTTCAAATGATTTCAAATCAGCTCCTGATCATTCTCACAAAATTTGTTCTCATTAGGATGCGAACTCATACTGCACTTGGCTCTTTGAAGTTTATGTGGGAATTGAAAAATTGAACGTTAGGATAATTAGTTATTAATTGATTAGGAAGATGATGTTCTTCTGACATGGTTCATTTACTACTCAGCAGACAAAATTGGAATAAAAGGACAAAAAATCGAGGCTATTATGTCATAAAGGCAAGATGCAGTGTTACCCTGAAAACAGCCGAATAATCCTACCAGCAAGTTATCAACTTGGAAATTAATTAATAACAAATTTTCTTGACATTCAATTAAAAAGTGGTTTTCAACAAAGTTGTAGCTGGGAAATTTTCACGTAAAAGGGGGGGGGGGGAGCTCTGATGGACAACTTTTCCGTAAATCATTATGGTGCAGGCCTAGAACGATGAGGACAAAAAATACACTTGCCTTATAGTAATTCCCATATAAACTTCAAAGAGCCAGTGTAGAATCAGTTTCACCAAATTAGCTCAAATTTTGTGATATCCGAATCCGATTGATCTTGGTGGATCAAATTGATAGGTATTTTGCAGCTGGCAGAGAACCAATAGTTCGGAGGGCCCTTTAAAAAAACTTCGTTGTTGAAATTGATTCGTGTGACATCAGTATTTCCAGCCTTTCAAGCTGTAGCCGACATCACTAGTTGATTCAAACATCTACTTAATTTTGAGAACTGTTCAAATATATTTAGACAAAAAGCATGGTGTGTTCTTCCCAAGTAGTAGTCAACCTGAAAATATGATGAGAAATAAGAAAACTGGATTGTAAATTTTGGGATGAATCCAACATATTTGTCACACTCAACGGTCAGTATCTGAATCGAAAACCATGTTTTCCAAAATGTTTATTTAGTAGGCTCAATATCTTTGAAAGCTCTGCGGAGCCAAAGGACTAAACAAATATTACAATGGAGATCTAAATCGATTTCCTATATTTTGTTGTGCTTGCAACGCATCGAATCTCGACAGATCCGCAAACCCTTTCTGCCGAGGATGCTGATGTTCGTTTTTGCATGCTTTATCGGCCTTTTGAGCGCACGTCCATTATCACCACCTCTTCATGCAGCACCTCTACCACTTCCTCTGTTGATTTGCTGGTGCTGTCTGACAATGCACCTACAGCCACTATACCAGGGTACTAACTGCTATCGGAGTTGCAAGGAATTATGTAGTTCTTCAAGAAACTTCGTGGTACTTCAGGGAACTTTTTAAAAGTTCAGGAAACTTTCTTGAACTGCAGATTTTTCTTTTAAGTTCAGCTAACTTTGTAGAAGCTCACCGAATTTCAGTGAACTTCGTAGAGTTTCATCGAACTGCTTCGGTAAATTGTTCCTGAAAAAGTTATAAGACAACGACACTTCATACCTCATGATGAAATAGTTCAGAGAATTCCGCACAAATTCAGGAAATTTCGAGCGTCGAACATTGCGGAAAATCAACGAGAAACGTAGATGTGAAGCAAGCCTTGATGAAGTTTTGTGGACTGCGTAATAATTCGAGGAACTTCGTATAACTTCATAGAAGTACAGGGCATCTTGAAAAAATTCAGGGAATTTCGTAAAGATAAAAGACTTCAGGGATCATCGTTTCAGTTTAGGGAACTTCATAGCAGTTTGTCAGAGATCTTAAAAATCTCAATGAAATTCCTGAAGATGAAGATTTTGGAACCTCGTTTAATTTCAAGGTACTTTGAAATTTGAGTAAATTTTCTAAAACTTAAGGAAATTTTGTAGATGTTCAGGAAACGGTGCATAAGTAACTGGATATTCTTTCAGATATGCTCCCTAGACAGCCAGGAAGTTTTAAAAGATCAGCATTTGCTGATGTTCTTCTAAACTGAATTTGCGAGTTGCTAAAAAAAAGGATGACTTAAGAATGTGCTTAAGTTTTTGAATATCATAATTTTTCAAATAGATAGATCAACTTGCAACACGGTATTTTCCAAATTTAAACCATACATTCTGGCAACATGGTGATTTGATTGGTTGATCTGTTGCAGGTTGTAGCAATGGCTGTACCACTTTCTGGTTTGTTGTAGCGAGATGGTGGCGCTTGGTGGTCACTTTGTGGAATTGGT